AGAAATGTAATCATTTGATGTGAAAACGAGCGAAGAAGAGCTGATCTTTCGTTCGTCATGTGACGAACATCGTCAGAGCTGGAACTCATTCTTACAAATACCTCAAGTTAACGCTAAGTCAATAAGACTAACCGTTTTTTTAAATATGATGAATATACTCATTGCGAGCAAAACGTAAAATATAGATGGATATAGAAAGGTTTGGTCAATTCACGTATACATGAGTGTGTCTGTGTGTGTATGCATGTTAACGTCTGTACTCAAAACCGGTCATAACTCAGGGCAATTAGAAAAAAGTTTAACATCAGCCCCGGGTCATCAAAGCTTGATGACCCAAGGAAAAAAGGATAACCGAGATTGGGTTAGTCCGTAAGTAACCCTGGTTAAATTAATGAGATGCAAGTCTGTACACATGAAGGTCAGGTTACGGAACCACTAGTCCGAACCCGTCTGTCTAGGCTATTAAGATTTGATAAACCAAGGAGACGCTTGGCTGAAATTGCGTAGCCCTGCACGTCTGTTTTGGTTGATGAGCTTGACATGTCTGTTGATCGAGTGTTAACTTGATTAAAATCATCACTCAGTTGACAAATTAACGGCTGCTCAACAGCCCATATCTCTTACAATCAAGCATAAGTAATTCTTATTCAACTTTATACCACCATTCCTCACATATAATGTATTCCCTAATCTATCAATTTCAATAGACTACATTATCTTGTGTTTCGTAGCAGACATATCATAATCAACAAACATCTGCGTACGAGACTATTCTTATGCATGCCCAGTCTGTCATGTTCCGCCATTTCTGAACGCTCGATACAGCTGTCCATACAAGCACTTTGTACTCCACTAATCTTTGGCTGATCGGGCGACAGGTCTCGCGATATAGGGTCGGCCACGGGAGTACGTAATCTAATAACAGCCTGATTTCGATAGTGGATCATGGGTCTCTCCAAAAGAAGGTATAACCGAAGAAAGTGTCAAAGTTTCTTTAAAAAGTGTTCTTATCCTCGACATTATCATTAGTTATCCTATCTTTTTAGAAAGAAAACATGATAGTAAGATTATAACATGAGAAGGGTCTTCGGCTTGCCTCTTTGACCAAATAGTCTCAGCCTGGACAATATGGAGTGGGGTCAAAGGAAAGAGATGAAGCACTATGAGTTATGACAAAAAATAGGGGCGAGCAGTAATGCCACAACGGTTGAACAGAAAATTGATCAAAGGGATCGCTTTCATTTGTCACTTTGTTGTTGTAACTCTGTGCTGACGATGGCGTCTCTGACTGACGATGCTAGCGTAACGTTTGGTAATGTACCAAGTCAATTGTCCGATGCTGGACATTGCGAATACTGTGGCAGAGGACTAGGTACGTTCCACAAGGTCTCCCTGACACTCCGACCAATTTGTGAAAACAAGGTCGAGCCAAATTTATAAAACTAAAGGAGACTGCGACCAAACAGAAGGCCACAACATCTTGGTCTTCAAATCTACGATCTAAATACAAGGATTAAGCCTATGCAACATTATTGGCTAAATCTTACTTGCTAAATATATTATATATTATATCCATGAATTCATAGACGATTTGTTTGTTGTAGAAATTTTATGGTAGGTAGGATCTATGCCATAGGTAAAAAATTATGAACAGATGTAGTAATGCTCATAGCAGTTTATGCTGTGAATCAAGTTAGCCCTTTTTGTACTTATATACTGGTTACCTATTGTAGTTATCTATACTAATTTTTTATTCGAATGATAGCAATTCTGTTCAGTGAATTTAGCTTTCAAAAGCCCTTAGCTAGAGTAGGTTTGAGTATTAAATACACAGATGAGAAGGGACTATTTAAAAGTTTGGCCCTAACCAATTATTTTTATATACTTAACATTAATTAACAGCCATGTAGCATGGAAGATAAAATAAAAATCAAGAAAATAAACATTAGTCATTACTTCTGTGGGGAACTGCTGTAATTCCCATCTCCACGGTAGGCATAGGCAGGAGCTGGGTCGGCATATGCCAGGTGTCCATACAAGGATCGTAGACAAGTAGAGTATCGCTAGCCGGCGAATAGTAGGTGTCTCGGCATAACCGATAGCCCCCGAAAAGGTACACTAGATTTCCTAGGCAAGCGATCGCATGCCGCGACCTAGGGGCTTCTAATTCCTTCATCTCGCACCAGACACACTCGACTAGATTGTAACGCTGACACCTAAAGGAATACATTTTTTAAATAAAAATGGAACAACAATACATTATTCAATTAGTACCATGGAAAAGTAGTGGTTAACTATGCATATTTATCATGTAATCTAAATAAGTGATGAAATGTGCTAAAAACTGTTATGCATAAAGTAAATATCAAATCAAGAAAAATCGTGTGTTGGCACAAACAACCCTACGTGGTGAATGAGTAAGGAAGGAGAATTCAATAAATTTCATACCAGATATGCTTGACCCGGAACCCTCAGTAATAGATAAGAAGCAAAACATGTAACGACAGTAGAGACATCATTATTTACTGGTTTAGAGATATGGTCGCATTAAATAACTCATTTTCCAAATTCCTTGTTTAATTTTGGCAGGCTCCTCAAAAGCCAGTATTGACATATTAATGTGACATTGTCAATGTACAAGGAAACAAATATCAAGATCAGACATGAAAAGTTTATAACAAAAAATGCAAGATATTAATTCATAAAATGTGCACCACAACGAATAATAAATTTGGGATTAAAATAGCCTTAGCATTAATATGACTTCACATGTTAATCCGATAAAATAGATCTTCAAAGAAAACAACTTTCCTTGTTTTACTTATTACACCCCAGTATAAAAGTGCATCTGCTCTTTGAGAACAAACAAAATAAATGACTTAATTAAAGTCACCATTTGGTCAAAATCGTCGGTCCATACATAGACTGGCAAGCAGAGTAGCTGAAAAAACCTTGAAACCTGGGCTATGATT